TTGTGCTTTTTCTGTAGGAGCTGAAACGCGGGAGACATCGAATAGGAGGCAAGGTTGCAACAGGGAGAAATTATGTAGAGGCAGATCTGCTCTTAGAGATGATTGTTTCCATTTACAATGTTGTGACCGGCGCTTTATAAAAAAATGTGGTTAAACCCTACTGATACAGGGGACATTAAAAAGTATGGACGTTCTGATTGTGTAAACGTATCAAAGTGATGCTCTCAACACGTAACAGGCGTGTATTCAATGGAATTGTCATCCCTATACTTTACGACATTGTCCAGAATCATTTATACAGCGATCGTATATTCCCTGAGCATTTACCATTTTTTCCTGTTTCGTTCTGTATCAGACAATGCATAAAAATTTCATATCTTCGCAGCTGCAAGACATCATGACTTTATAGATGCTTATAGACTGGCTGTTCATCACTTTCATTGCCCATTCTAAAACCGCGTGTCGTCTTTACCTGTACTTCGGTAAAGAATAATTTCAGCGATGAATATTTGTCTAACCTGGCCTGAAATTTTTGCAATCACCGTTAGACTTAAACTGATTATCTAATATCGTTTTCGTCCCCTCCACATATCAAAATGAGGAACATTCACACGCATCGTGAATCGATTCTTCTGAGAACGGGCATTCCTTATGGTAAAGGGGGATCATTATCCGGTGTGTCGTCTCAGTCGTTTTACAACTGATTAACAGAAAGTTAACTACGTTGTTTTCAGACTCGTTCGGGGCAAACAAGGAAGCGGTCGACTTGAACGTGTCCATGTCAGAGTTTCAGAAGGTGCAGAAGGAGCTGACCGCATTCAATGCACACTTAGGCGACATTCGTCACAAGCTCGACTTCCTCTACCGCATCTGTCAGGGAGGGTCGATCCTCCTCAATCCAGCCGCTCTCATCGGTGCGATGTTCTTTGCCGGCCAACTTCTCGTCGTCCTGCTGTACTCGCGATACTTTTGCCACTGAATCGAATCGGACAGCCGCTGCTCCTTCGCGCCCATTCAGTTAATGTTTATCGCCGATGAAACAGCGTTTGCAA